AAATTGACCAGCAGGAACCCATGAGAACTCGCCAACTGGTAATTCTTGACATTGAATACCCATATAAATTATTAACGTCAAAGTAAGCCAAACTTGTAGGTTCTTTTGTTGAATCATAATTCGGACATGATGTATTGTTGGCTATTATGTCTTTGGATACCTGAGTGAGACCACCTCTGATACCTTTTCTACCATTAACAGCATGTCATTGTCTGTAATTAGTTCAAGTTTGATTTTGGTTTTCTTGATTGCTGCAGCCCGCAAATCCAGGAGCGGAGAAGTGACACGGGTCAATACAAAATTTCTGAAACTTGTCCTTCGAAAGTTTTCAAATATTGCAGCTAATAAGGATGTATCAACTTTAAGGTAAATGTTGTGAAAATCCTTCAATGTTTGACAGTTAAATCGGTTCCAAATGTTAGTCACATGATCATACATTTCATCAGTTACATGAATCTGTCAGCGTAGGTAAAAGCTTCTTTAGATGGTAAATGATCTAGATCAAAATCAGAAATTGAGTTAAAATACTCATATGGAGACAAGCTTTCTTCATTAATAATTCAAATGGTGTGTTTTCTGGGAAACTCTTGTCATGAAATGTTTTTGATATCATCGGGTACAGATTGAGCCAGGTTATCAAGTGATGCAGGTAAAACTGTAGCTATCCAGAAAGATAAAGTCATCAAGCATGCGATGTACTTCTCCATTGTATGGGGAATCAGCCTTGGTGGGTTTTTGAACATTCCAGAACGTAAAGCGCCGATAATGATGTGCCCGTCAAAGTTTTTCAAATTATGAAAAATGACTGGAATTTTAGATGGCACTTGATACGCTACATTGCATGCTTGGTGTGGGACCTCTGAACTGACCAGTGAGATGATCATGATCACGAACCCTATCATGACCCAAACATTTACCACAGATATGCAATTCTGAATAGCTTCAAATTCCTGTTCATCAAGTGAGACATACTTAATGGTTTGAAGTTTTCTTGTTTATGCTCATCTATGGTTTTTAATATCTAATGACTTGAAAAATTGTTGCCTAACATTTTCACCAAAGTAAAGTTTTTACTGACGATATTTCGATTCCAATCGACTGCAATTAAAGCATAACTAACTGGAACTAAATCGGCTAGGATTTTCTCAGAGTCAGTTCTATTAGTTGATAATGTCTCAAAGTCGCCATAAATAATATATGGAAAACGACTTTCCTTTCGATAATCATTCCTTGTGATTACTGATTTTCGGCTCCCGGGTTGTGGTAATACCAGTTTTTGAGGTGTATGATTTAGACAATCATTTCTATGTGCATCTAATCTTTCTTGGTTATTGAATGAGCAGATGCAACGGTAACAGAAATAGTTGTTACGTGTTCCAGATGTACTGGCAAGTCGATTGAAATTAGTGATTGTGAAGTAATGGTCATTATATAATAGCAGATTAACGTGCTTTGTATTTTCTTTGTCCATTACTTTAATTGGCCAAATAGTTTTTGAGTCAACGTCATAACTATAAACGTTAACTGAGATGGCATTTTTTCTGGTGAACTTTTTGATTTGATGCACCGATACATTACCACGCACATCAGAGAAGTCATAGAGATCCAAGTATCTTCGATAAAGTGTAACTCTCTGTGGGTTGTATTGGGGGGTATGTAGTCCTGCAAGAACTGAATACATGAAACAGTCACTGATAGTATCAGGTGATATTAAACACTTTTGTTTTCAAGTCATTGGGGTTGTATCGATCTACCCTCCTTTATGTGGCTTGTAGAGACCAAAATTACATCACAATGGATGAACCTGGCTACTGTCCTGAACCTTTTTGAGTATATTGATCAATAAATGAATCAATTTCTGATAAAGCCTTGCCAATTTTTGCCATAATATCACTAGCTGGATAAAACTTAAGCAAGGTTGAGGTGAAAGTTGGCTTCACAAACTGGGAACCATCGAGCGATTCTTTTACCATTTCAACTTGGATACTGATTCCAGCCTTTATCAGTTTTAGTTTATCGATACCTATGTAATATTAATAGAATGTTGGTTCTAGGATCAGTTATAGTTGTAAATTTAAGTTATAAGAATCAATGGATAAAAAAGATCAGACCTTGTACATTTCATATTTGAATGTCAACACATGAAAAGATTCACTTTCATTCATTTAAAAGTTTGAACAGAAAGCATACTTCCGAATTTCAAAATTTGTTGTATATTTAGACCAAAGTCTTGGTAAACGCCACTTACATCGGCTACTTCTAAATTGTCAGCTCGATACACAACGAATCTCTTTCCATCGCTGTAGATAGAAGGTGGAATCGGTTGATGTCACCAGGAAAATGAACGTTTATTACCGGTGGTGGTACACCACAAGTCTTTAGGTGTAGTTTATACATTCCGTAGCGTTTGTACGGTTTTTTCGAACAACGTGGACATTTGTATGTTTGTGTTGTTGATAAGGTATTATTCTCATTTTCAGATGATTCAGTTGATGAGAATGAAAGTTCAGTGGCAGATGAGGTAGAGGAATTATTAACTGATTCCATATGAACCGTTTCATCATCAGAACTCTAGAATGAATAAATAAAATGAATGTTAGTAATCATTTTCTATTTGAAATATTGTTCAGTTTGAATGTTCATAATAGATGAATGGAAATATATTAACAGTACATAATGAATTTTAATTAAGAAAATATTTTATTGGATTTCATCATTTTAATTTATCATCATAATCATAATCAGCATAATCATTTATTTTATCAATCATCACATTTTTTATTAATCATCATATATTTTTAATTAATCATCATTAACATAATTTTTCTTTCATTTTCTCAGGTTGTATATTTATATAAATTTTTAAGTTGTTTTTTTGTCATCATCTTTATCAATTTTTGGCTTTTTATTGCCAACATCAGCAAATAAATTTTTATATTTTTTGGTTTTCTCGCCCAACTTTTTCTCAGCAGCGGCGATATTTTTTTCCATTTCGGTTTTTTTCACCTTCAGGAGTAACCAATACTCGTTGGTACATACCAATAAGTTTCTGCTCGATTTTATCGGCAGCAAAAATTTTCGTCCTTTTGACAGAGCCATATTTGCTTATGGATGTCATTTTGCATTTCCTTCATTTTCTGAGCTCTTTCCTTGGCTCTAAATTTGGCCTTTTGGTTTTTACTTAAACCTTCAGGGTAACGCTGTAAAGAAAAATTCATCCATTATGAACATTCAAACTCAAAATTCATGTATCAAGAAACCTTACCTGGCTATCCATTATATCAATTTTTAGAATTAGTATATAATTAGAAAAACTCAAGAAACACGTAAAGAATATCTATTGAAAAGAAAAAGAATATAAGGAATAAATGAATTAAAAACATATATAAATTCAGTATAAAAGCTTATTACAAAAGACTAAAGGACAAACTCGAAGGTCATCACAAAAATCTAATGAATGATTTGAAAAAGAAGTCGGCTTAACTTACAATATAAAACTCAGTATGAATTTTTTTTTTGTTGAAGAAGTTAGGGTTGAAAATGTTGGTGAAAATTGAGAGAGAAAATTCAAGAAAACGAAAATCTGAATGGATGAATAAAGAAAAAATTGTTAGAATAAAATTATATAAATTAATGAAACATGAATTAGAGTTCAGAAAAGTTTGGCATCACTAGAGATGTAAGGACAATCCCGAAGGTTATCACACACATCTCTTGGACTCGCATTTTAACATAAATGTGAACTTATCAATTCAAAAGCTGGAGACAAACTTAGCTTAAAACTGTAGGTTATGTTATTTATATCATTAGTTTTGACTAGGTGACCATAGACAGAGAAATAGACAGAGAAAAGAAAGAGATGGTCACGTGACAAAGAAATAGACAGACAAAAGAAAGAAAGTAGACAGAAAGAAAAAATAGACAGAGAGATAGACAGACAAAAGAAAGAAGAGATGCCTACGTGTCAAAGCGAAATGAAAGAGGTGCCTACGTGACAGTGAATTTACAATGCCAGATGTTAAATTCTAGATGTTAAAATCAGATGTTGCATGCCAGATGTTGGACGATGTCCAATCAAATTCAAGCAGATGTTTAGTGTTTCTATTTCTCTTTCTACACTTGGAATAAACATTGCAAGTCCCGTTAAGGTCTCAGTTTGTTTTTATCTTTCGTAGTGGTAAGTTGATTTTCCATTTTCTAATGCGAGTCCAAGAGACGATTGTGATGGTCTTTGGGACCGTCCTTTCGTCTCTAGTGATGAGCAAAAGATAGAACAATTAGCCCTGAGAAATGAACTTATCCTTTTTATCTTTCTTTAGTTATTATTCAGATTCATATATTCAAATATTCAGAAGTTTTATATACATATCCCGATTCAAGCGTTATTTTTTGAGTCTTTCCATTTAGTGATAAGTATGTTATAAGATGTTTTTATATAAGGCTAGTCTTAGAAATAATTGTGATGAGCATCAGGCTTGTCTTTTTATCTCTAGTGACAAGTTTTAATATTATAGTTACAAATTATTTTTGTTGGATTAACTTATTTTTATCATTCTAGTTTAACTTGCTACCTCCTAAATAGAATACCTTAGTTTGCATCAAAATGGTTCTCTCGTATAGAGAAGAGTGAGTATAGCAAATAAAATTAAGTTGAGAATAAATATTTAATTTGATGCTTCTTTCTTATAATCTATTTAAGAGGTTACTGCATAGTAAATATTTGGATATTTACACGATATTGATCGTAAGAGCTGCCCCTATTGAAAAGGAATTAAAAGAGTATGGTTACCATTACAATGGTAATGATCTACCATACGACCAATTTGATTTAGAGGGATCAATTTTAAAAGTACTGCGAAGACCGAGACCACCTCCGCACAGTTCGGTTTTCCATAAGTATAATGAACTTTTGGAAATTGATCTACTAAGAGTGCAAGCTATACACATTATGCGAACACTGAATGCGTGATCCTGAATATCTTCCTGAGGTTTGCTTTGATGAAGATTTAAGCATCCGTATGAATTAAGACCATTCATCAATACCATTTAACTTTCAACATTCAAAGTGGTAAGTTCATATTTTGTCAGTAAAAAGTGCAAGTCCAGGAGATGATTGTGATGACCTTCGGGGTTGTCCTTTCACCTCTAGTGATGAGCAATGTTGGTCAAATATAAAATAACTTACATGCAAGTTTTACTAATCATTCAATTTTATTTATTACCTTCAGATATTTCTCAGAAGACAACAGATTTTTCCCGTTATTTTCATTTGCATTTTCTCTCATTAACTCTCAAACTTTCGAAGTGGTAAGTTCATATTTTGTCAGTAAAAAGTGCAAGTCCAAGAGATGATTGTGATGACCTTTGGGGTCGTCCTTTCACCTCTAGTGATGAGCAATATTGGTCAAATATTTAGTAACTTACATGCAAGTTTTACTAATCATTCAATTTTATTTATTACCTTCAGATATTTCTCAGACGACACCAGATTTTTCCCGTTATTTATATTTACATTTTATCTCATTACCTTTCAACATTCAAACTGGTAAGTTCATATTTAGATAATAAAAAGTGCAAGTCCAAGAGATGATTGTGATGACCTTTGGGGTCGTCCTTTCACCTCTAGTGATGAGCAATATAGTTCAAATATTCTGTAACACATATATGCATTCATTCAATCTTATTTGTTTCTCTCCAGATATTCAGTTACATCACCATTTTTTCCTTTGTCATTATATATATATATATATCTCCAACTTTCAGAGTGGTAAGTTCATATTTTGATAATGAAATATGCAAGTCCGAAAGATAATTGTGATGACCTTTAGGGTTGTCCTTTAAACTTTAGTGATGAGCAAAGATAAAAAGATTAGTTATATGATTACTAATCAACAAGTCTTTTCAAATTTTCAACCAGATTATAAAAATGGAAAACCGTCTTGATAGACGAATAGAAAATATCAATGATAGAAATAGAAGGATTATGGAAGATTTGCGATTTTGTTTAAACGAGTTTTCGCAACAAGTTGTCCAGATAATCATCAAGCTCAAAGAATTTGGCTTCAATTTTGATAACTGGACCTTACCTTTTAAACTAGGCGATTTACCTGGATCTATTAAAGAATTGTTAAAAAGAAAAATGCCACCCCAACATTGTGTAACATACAATCTGGTTGTTCAATTGAATGAAATTGATCTTTTGCGAGTCCAATTACTCCATCACTTGACAGCTCTCGAGCAAAACCCATTATATACACCTTCCCCTATTGTACTTAATTAAGAAACATGATTCAGTCCATTTTTGTCGAAAATATCAAAAAATATCTACTATATAACCATGTTAAAAAGAAGAGAAAATAACTCATAACTCACAGATATCAAACATAAATTATGAGAGAGAAAAATAAATATCAAATTGCGTAAAATTAAAACTGATCATGATTTATTTCATATATTGAAAATTCAATCAGTTTACATTGAATCTGTTTATGAGCCGGAAGATTTATAAATAGGAATTAACATATTTGAATTAGTTATTTAATTGAGAGTATACATGATAGAGTTAGTAGGAGCGTGTATATTTTCGATTAATCCTCGTAAGATTTGCATCCGTATAATATCGACTTCAATTAGTTCACAACATAGTGGGTAAGCGGGGTGTTCTTTTTCGGGTAATTTACGTTTTAATATGTGTGGGATTTCACGGTTTCTCGTATACTCATAAGTCCATTCATTTATACTTGACCAACCCATCTCTTCTATTCGTTTCCTTAGATGTTGAGCCCGATTTGTTAGAACAGTCATTTTATTCCTTGCAGTGTCCTGATTTATTATTCTACTAGCCATGCTTCGCTGAGGAATAGACGGAACTTTTATCAGTTTAACTGTGATATTTTCACACGGGATAAAGTAAATATTCAAACAGACGCAATAAAACCAGTCAATATCAATTCGTTATAATTTAAATTTAGTATTTATTTAAACGTAAAATGTTTCTTATATGTATACACTTTTCAATTATTTGTACTTGTTGATACTTGATTTTCCATGAATCTTAGTTGTTGAATCTTGGCTTTCATGAAGTTTTGAAGACGCATCAATAATCTGAAGAACCCTTCTTCATATGTAAACTCATAAAGAAGGTAAATTTTATTGATTATTGTATTGTACCATTTGATATTTTCACGTGTAACATTAGTATCGTTACTCGAAGTTACATTTACAGTTTCCGCTTCGGCTTTCATTCTGCAGAGCTCACTGAAGTAATCCAGAATTTCATCTCGTAGATTTTGAGCACCTGTGAGTTGAAATTGTTGCTCGAAGTAAACAAGTTTATTGAGAACGGAAATATAAAACTGTTCCATTGTCGTTGATTCACGGTTAAAAGTTGATTGACTCAAGATCATCAAAAATCCACAATTATCACTTTTCGTAGTCAAATTGGTTGAAATTCACCCAAAATTCACAATTAACTTTTTGATGTTTACACTTATAAGCTCAAACTAGAAATGATATAAATAGAATTTATTATGTGATAACACAATGAGGGAGTGGAAAAAGCTCCCTTATAACAGCCAATAGATTTCCAACTAATCAGAACTAAGATACATCATTATATTGAAGCTTAAAAAAGCCAAAATTGTTGATCAGGAAATTACCAGATGGCGCCACATGTGCTAGAAGTGTACTTGTATAGAAAATTCCATTATAATATTTAATAACACATCTTATGAAGGTTTTCTGAAGTGTGCCAGAAGTTAACCCATATATAATAACATCATAGAACACTCGGTATTCAGAAGGCTCCAAAAGATGGTTTTTTCATAGTGTGCCAGAGGTTAACTTGTATACTTGACCCCATATACAGGGTGCCCTAAAGGGCACCCCGTATTCAGATCACACCGTAGGATGATTTTCTTCACTTTGGTACACCCTGTATAAAACTGTGCCAGAGGTTAACTTTTTATACTACTTTCATCTATGAGATCCAAGAGCTTTGCTCTCGAATGAACAGTCAGATGCCTGAGAACTTAATGATTAGTTTTATCTCTGAACGATTCTTACCACAGATCAAATTTGTCACCACCTTACAAAATCCAAAGTCATTGAGTGAGTTAATCGAGGCAGCCAAATTAGCTGACAAAGCCTTAGTTAATGGTGAGGTCAAACCTAATCATAATTTTAGCCTCGAGTCTAATTCATCAAATGCAATTGAGAATAAACTATTAAACACTTTGAATCAATTGCAATCAAAATTTGATCAATTGGAAGAAAAGCTGAATACCTTTACTGCTAAAGCATTCAATCAGAATCGAGTCACTTGTAACTTCTGTGGTCATCGTGGCCACACCGAAGAAAATTGTCGCCACCGAATGGCAGCGATTCAAGCCAATAACTTTCAGCCAATTAGTAGTCAACTGACTCAACCAGCTCAGTCAAACCAACAAAACTTACCATTGCAATCCAATGCTATGCAATCACAAGATCAATCGATTCAGAGAGAGATTAAGTTAATAACTTAATTACCTTGTTTTTCTCTTCTCTCTATCTCTCACCTAAAAGTCACCTTGGAATTGTTATTGTAAAGGAAAATAAATGATTGTAATTTTAATCAGAGACTAACTCTCGATCAGTGAAGATCGAAAGGTCGAATTGGAAAATTAAATAAAGTGATTAAACGTCCAACCAAATAAGAATCAATAAGTTTCCTTTTGTTAAAATTGAAAATTGGTAATTGTGCTTTTCTGAATAAATAAAATCAGTTATTTAAGTTCCAGTGAAAAGTGAATGTTAATACTAATTAGTTAAATCAACTATTTAACCAACAATTTGGTGCTCCCGTGTGAGGGTGAAATTCAATTCGAAAAAAACCAGTGAACTAACTTTCTTTCCCTCTTTCTTTAAAAATTGTAAACAAATAAATTGTAACTTCTTAAAATCTTCTCTCTCTATGAAAACCTAATTGTTAACAGGAAAATCAACATCAACCATATAAATACTAACTGACCCGAATATTGGTAACCAAATCAAACAAAACAACAAATTGGTAAAAGGTAAAACCTTTTGATTTATCATACATTTCCTCCTCACCCAATTCCAAACAATTAGTGATAATTCCGTTGACACAATAACGAATCAGTGAAGATTCATTAGGTTAACCTTGTCACTTAAAATTAACACTTACAAAATCAACAGCGTCATTCAAAATTGTTTGATTAGAACCAGTGAAGGTTTAAGTCATACCAAAGTGAAACGGAATCAGTGAAGATTCGCGTTGAACTCAAAAGGTGAAACGGAATCAGTGAAGATTCACGTTAAGCTCTTAAAGTGATTCAGTGAAGATTCACGAGTTGAAAGGAATCATTTAACATTTAAATTGAACTTGCTCAACCCCTGCTTTGATGCATAAAGACTTACTTCACCTTCGAAATTGAGATTCAAATTGAATTCTCAAACGAAACAATCTAGTTATAAATTAATCACTCATTTCACCCAATCAATTACCCCCATTTCATCGAATAACCATTAACAAGCGATAATAGCTTAGAGTAACTCTAACATTGAGTTACATCTTAAGGTTATCATCAGATCAAACAATCATAAATCTAAATTATAAAAGATTGATCAATTATAAATTTTCATCTGACTGAAATCAGCAACAAGTGCATCCACTATAACTAAACTGAACTTTAACTTTAACTGATAATTTTCGAAATAAAACAACGAACTCCCGTCAACCTTCGCGTATCATTCAAACAACTAAACAAATTAACTATAAAAACAATTACCAATCAATATCTAATGATTCAATCAAATCAACAAACAACAAGATAATCATTCAATGATCATCATCATCAGCAAATAACTACATTGACTTTAATTAACCCTCAACAAGTGATAACACCTTTTAACCTTAAAATAACCTTACCACACGTCAATTAGTTGCTTCAGTCATAGATTATCATTAGATTAAAACTAATCATAAACATATGAACAATCATAAACTTTTATTATTCTTTGATTAATATCATAATATCAAAATGTCAGTACCTCCTACTGCACCGTCATTATCATCAACATCTAATCAAGAATTTAATCAACCAGCCCTTCAGTCATGAACATTAATCTTTCTAACCTTTTAAAGAACCATATAACTATTGAACCTTTCAGGGGAGATAATGAGGATGTAGTTGACTGGTTGGTCCAATTTGAATTTGCCTCTCAAGCTCTAGGCTTAAATGCAACCGAAATGTTTAAAATAATTCCATTTTACCTTCAAGGCTCAGCTCGTCGTTGGTACAACTTAACCGTTAGCTCCTTCGGACCAGCGAATAAGCCAACGACTTATGAACAGCTACGAGAATGTATGATAACCGGCCTCTGTCCAGCAGATTATCGTACTCACCTCTCTCAACAACTTCATAATAGCAAACAGAAACCAGGCCAACCAACAACTAGCTTCATCTATGAGATCCAAGAGCTTTGCTCTCGAATGAACAGTCAGATGCCTGAGAACTTAATGATTAGTTTTATCTCTGAACGATTCTTACCACA